CTCTGCGGCACTTCCACCCATTCGGGACCCCAGTAACGCCTTTTCTGAATCGATGAAAACTTAACCTATCGTGCGCGACCAGGCGCGTATAGCACGTGAAGATGAGTTGTTTAGTATCGTCAACCACTTCATACGGACCTGCTCCCGGTCCGTCTGACTCTGCCCTAACACTGGGCTTGGACGTGTGATATAGGAGAGTGTGGTAGTTATTGTGCAGGTCCTTTATAAGTATAAACTAATTCCCGCGAAGGTTATAGTCCCTGCGCAAACCGAGCATTGGTGCATATAGATGACATCGTGCTCTCGACGTTCGCATCTTCATGTGCAGATATGGGGTGCCGACAAAGTCAACAGAGACCTGTAGGTCATTTCTGGAATATTAGTTTTCATCGGTTAGTTCTGCTTAGCCCAAGGCTTAGGGCTTCTGCGTTTTGACCCGGTTTCTTTGGTTATTAAACGTCAAGCATTCGAGCGCACTGCTTTCGAAATATGGGCTCGTTATTTTGCCTAGGTGTCATAGGTGGTATTAAATGTTATAGGGGGAAGCTCACCGATCAGATTACGGGACACGTTAACGCCTTTGAGCCCTGGGGCTCATTCCATAGCCTCTGCAGGCAGTCACACAGCACTCCCCGTTACCTTATTGGCGAGCTGCTGTGCACCATATCTTACATTCACGGCACCAAGAGCGAAGTCATGAAATATCTTCCTTTCTGCTGCAGGCGTGAACGATCATCCAGGGACCATGAGGCCTTTTATCCGTTGTGACAAATTGCCCACTCAAGGCAGCGCCTGCGGTCCTTCGGTGGCAAGATATTACGACGTAAAATACAAGTTCTACGAAAACCTACACGGCCTCTCAGTGACTGCGCAAAGGGCGAACAAACTGACTGTTTTCAGTGACCACAATGCTTGCGACGGCACAGACTTCGCCGACTGAGAAGGGATGTTATGTCATCACAGGGTCGGCAACAGCGGAGTCTATCGCCCCCATCGCCTACATAGTGCATAATCCCTATCTCACTAACACCCTCCGCCCCCTAACCAGTTAGAATACATCTCAGATAATCCTTGCTCACACCGCTCTCAGCCACGCGATGTGCTAGTAACCAAAGAGTTTCGTGTTGCCCACTTCTGGACGAACCACCACCTTGTCATCTCTGGGGTGAGGTTTCGGCTGCAACTCCCAGCCATCTGCAAAGTAAGAGACCTGCAGACAAGCCGAATAATGCGTTAATTAATACGACTGAGTGCCAACTGAATTTGTTGCCGACAGCCTCATTGTCATATCTGGCGTCCCTGTTCAACGACCCGTTGCATAAAGGCCATTTAACATTACAGCGAGCGGTTCCAGACACGTTGACCTGCAGTCGTTCTCTCGACCTTAGGTCGGATATACGTGCGGCCACATAGTCGCATCTACCCATACGCCGCCTGAACACTCCACTCCCCCGGAAATGTTATATAATCCACATGAACACCACCCCCAGCAGATGCTCACACACACGTGGACGCCACTTGAGCAGGACTAACAAACCTACAAAAGGGGCTCCCAAAACTGTCTCACTAACTCCCAGGCATGGCTGGGAACAGTCAAATTTGTCCCTGGGTTTGACAGTGGCCACTGCCGCCTGGGAGGACAACTCGGGACTCTGTATGCAATGTACCCCCTATTCTGCTGACTTCAATCTTTTCTTACAACTCAGAATTTGGCCTAATGACTGTAACGCTTTGAGTACTCCTACTGCGTAGACGCTACAAACTTTATCAATTGCATGAGTCAAAGTCTAAAAAATACAGGTTCGGGGATAAAATACTACCACCGAGGCTGAGTGGAGGAAACTGCAGTTAAATGCCACAGTGACTGCTTAGTCATGAGGAAGTGATCAGTCCGTGGGAAAGGTCATAGGTGCGGGGCCGCTGGAACGAGCACTGCAATATGTCCCTTTCCACCCATATGCATTCTACGGAACAGTTATTAACCAACTTCAATAACTGTGCATTTATTTAGACGTTGATCTTCGGTCTTTGCTTTATGACGCAAACAAACGCAGCGTAAAAATGTCCAGATGAAAAGTACTGGCAACAGACGCGGATCAAACCGAGACCTACAAATGCTACGGCTGCCAATTCATAGACAAGCTGTCTTGCACAATTAACACACATCTGGAATTGGAAGTGCTTCAATACATACTAAGGTACCACGGACGTCACCTTCGCAGTATGGCAATTGTAAGAAAACGGTTAACAACTGAGACACAGCCACTATTCAGCCGTCTTGAATTAGGCGTTTGTCTTGGACATAGTCAACCGTGACTGACTCGGAAGAACCAAACTGAAATTCGGATGTCAGGAGTAATTCAAAAACATGATGGAACAACTTCTGCGCAGATTCATTTGAGTGCAAACTCGATACTTATCAGGCTGATCACTTATCATCCACAAACATACCTATATAACCAGTCTTAGAACCCACATATAACTACGCTTCTTGCAAAGAGTGAGTAGTTGATTGGTTGCCCTTCTCAGCTAACTGTTAGCTTCTTGCTTTTCGCAAGAAGTTATCTAAGTGATCTCTTTTCCAATTTTCTGAATTAGTACTGCCATTATAGACAATTTTCAGCCATTAGAGGGTTCAAAGGTGTTTGCCTATTTTCCCCTTAATAAAATTGGACTGAACTAGGCGAAATAATGATGTCGTGCGTTATGGGCAATGGGTTGGTCTCGAAAGCACTCGCAGGATCAATGAAGTGAACCACAAACATGTAATTGCTCCCATCCCCTTCAGTCTAATTTTCTTGGTACTTTGTGTAAAATCCTCATCGCTGGTTATAATGGTCTTCAACCAGAATGACCAGGTGATGGAAAGCTGGCCAGCACTCATGCAAGCATATATAGGAGTTTCTATAAAGGCAATTTCAATGATCTCTTATTCTCAGATGACCGCACGCTGACTACCCAAGATGAGGAGGGCATACAGTGAGACGCAGACCTCTTTGCCCACTGCCAAAATATCAAGGAATTATCGTTGACACGGAGAAGAAAGTGGTCATGCCTCAACAGTCATCGTTTTGTGACTATGGCGGACTCAGAATTGACATCAGTGGGTCTCGACTCGTACCTGTCAACAAACCCGTCCTCCTGGCTAGTACAGCACCAAAAGACATCATGATCGAAAAGAGATCGTCCGTCTGATCGTTCGAGCGAACCTGGTTTTGACGGTTTACAATACTCCGTCCGGAATTTCCTCGACGTCCTTTTCAAGACAAACCTGAGGATGCATGTGGTTGCTGTCCTGACTACTCCTCTTTTCGATGGGACACACGGATATTCTTCAAAAGCCAGACAATGTTGCCAAACATTTCACCACCTTTAGCTCCATAGACTTCTAAGGGTAACGCGGCAAACGGCGTGATCCAGCAGCGCTGGAGCGGCCACGTTGTAATGATGTATGACGAGCGCCTGGGAAGCAGCAGCTTTGTGGTGACGTTGCTACTGACGCTTACAAGCAAGACAGATAAAATCGTCCTTACGAGGATGTCCTAAACACACCAGCTGAACACCTGCAAGAATTGAAGCAGCAATAAACGAGATCCACTGCATTTACGAGGCCGAAACGAAAGAACACAGAGATTGTGAGTGCTACAGATCAAAGTTGAAACCACCCAAACACCTATCCACATATATACGTTGCCAATGACTGTTCAGGGCACGTAGTAGACTCGTCGAACACAAGCCGATGAAAACACTATCAACCCGTCCCAATCCCACAAGACACCAAAATGCTCCCGCAATCCTGCCTACCAACATCACTGTCACCCGTAATGTGGACCAATTTTAAACCTTCCCCATTGCTATCAAGCCGCAACTAGCGGTGGGGCGCATAAATATGGACCCCGCATTGCAGGTGGCCTAGCCCTGTATCCCTCGGTGTTAGGGTTGTGTTAGGGTTTTGAGGGCTAAGATTAAAACCATAGCGTTGCGTTATCCAAATATCTAGGGATTATGTTGCCCGACGATCAGTGTTAATTTCGGTCAAAATTTCATGGGATTGCCCACATACCGTAGGACAATGTAGAACATTCCAGTGTTTACGAGGCTGGACACGCAAAATCACTAGAAATTGCAATTCGATCTTGACGTCTGGCTTCTGAACTGTAGCATTGAAGACAGAGGCCCAGGCATATGCAACAGTTTCATCACGTCTTTTCCTCAACTTGTTTTCATTTATTAGACTTAGGTTAGTTCAGTTCACTGAGCGGAATAGGCGCGAGCCATCGAGTACCTTATTTGCATCGGAAAATTGAGTCCGGTGTACAGAGAAAACATATGAGTTGAACACATGCCTATCCATCGGTTTTTTTTTCAGCGGGAATTTTCACCCGCGGAACGAGAAAAATGGAGGGGGCTCAAATTGGAAGTCCTCAGGAGGTCGCGTTTGGGCGAGACAAATCTCAGAATAGTGGACGGAAAAATTAAACGAGTCCAGAGGCCATTCCTCTGGAGAAAGCCCATAACTATAACAGCTTAGGAGGGATGGAAAGCAGTTCATTCCGATCAGCTCCGACCGGCTTTTGCATTCAATCCCAGGAAATCACTAAACGCCTGTATGCCGGAGTTGTTCGTACCAAATTGAGATTTTTATATACCAATGCTCAAAGTCTCGTTTCGAATATCGACGAACTCAAAGAGATAGTATCAGAACGAATCCCGACGTCATCGCCATAACGGAAACTTGGCTTAATGCCGAAATCGTGGATGCTGAGATTTCGATACCGGGTTACCAGCTCTTTCGTAGAGACCGTCAAAATAGACAGGGTTGAGGGGTAGTCGTATATGTAAGGGCAGGAATTTCGGCAGTTGAAAGAGCCCACACGTTCTTCCTTCAATATGAAACTGTTTGGATAAAGATATAGAAGAGTAATGTACAAAATCTAGAATTCCTGGCGGTTTACAGGCCACCAAATCTTCTGAGTGCAGCTGATGAGTCGCTGCTTGGTTTAGTCAAAGACGTAGCTAGCCACCACGAGGTACTTATTGCTGGGGATTTCAACGCACCTGCAATAGAGTGGGAAACTACGTCATTTAACGGTGGGCCAGCTTCTTTCAGCAATAACCTACCAGACCTCCCAATCGATCTCCCTCTGGTGCAACATGTGAAGGTACCAACAAGATTTCGAGAAAACCAGAGAGCGAATTGCCTACATCTAGTTTTCTCTAAAGACTTCTCTAATATCGACGAAGTGTATTCCAATGCACCTCTCAGGAAAAGTGACCATACTACTTTAGTATGGGATTACTCGCTCTTTTCTCAACGCCAGAAGAGAACAGGAGGCCAACCTAATGTATGGAAGGCAGATTTTAACACGATGAAAAACGAACTGCTGTCCGTGAATTGGGACCAAATATTCAGGGCAGATCCGGAGGACGACTGGAGATCTTTTAAAACGATTTCACTCGATCTGATTAGGCGCTGTTGTCCACCTAAAGTACAAAAAACAACTAGTCGACTGCTTGGTTAACTAGGGACCTTAATAGGCAGCTACGGAAGAAAAGCAAAAGATGGAAAATATTCAGGGAAACTGCGTCACCAGCGCATTTCCAAGAATTTCGTCGTCAACGTAATGCAGTAAAAAATGTATCCGTCAGGCACGGAAGGAGTATGAATCCAAAATTATACGATAGGCTGAACCGAAGCCCAAGAGTTTATTTCACTATCTTAACAGGAGACTTAAAAACAAGGACCCGGTCGCTGTGCTGAAGGATGATGATGATGGTGTAGAGATCATTGAGAACAACGAGAAAGCCGAACACTTAGGACAGTATTTTGCCTCGGTTTTTATTAGAGAAACAGAGTTTGCAGTCGCAGTGCAGGCAATGCTGTTGAGACTGCTGGTCCCGTGTTAACTCTCTACTCTTCCCGACAGCTGTCGTGGCAAGGGAGCTGAAAAATCTCAAGGAAGCAAAATCGTCGGGTCCGGACAATATACTGGCCAAATTCTTGAAAGAATTGGCGAATGAATTCTCCATACCACTGGCACACATCTTCCGATCGCCAATCGAATTAGGGAGGTTGTCATCGGAATGGAAGACAGCAAATATCCTTCCGATATACAAGGGCGGGGCTCGCACTAATGCTAACAATTACCGGCCTGCTAGTCTCGCCTGTATCTGCTGTAAAATAGTGGAGGCTATAGTTAAGAAAGCAACAATGAAGTTCCTGTCGACCAAGCAATGGACTCGCGCACTGGACGAGGGTGGTAGGGTCGATGTCAGTTTAAGTCAGTTTAAGTCAGTTTACTAAGGGAATGAGGCTTTCGCCCTTGAGCACCCTATTCATGTCGATAAACAGAAATAAAGTCATCAATTACATCAGCAAATGCGAAAAGTTAAGAAGTTAGCGGTAAGTGTGAGCCAGGCGCAAACAGCCGCTGCTAAAACAATCATGATTGTATGTACAGTAGGTTCTCAACAAGTGAGCGTCTAGTCTGCACTTAAAGGATTTAACACTTTCGGAAAGAACGACGGCATCAGGGAGTCCATTCCATGCCCCGATGTCCCTGTGTGAGAAGGCGTTCCGTCGGACGTCCGAATGAGCCCGCTTCCTTTGCAGTTTGAACGGATGACCACGCAGACGGTCAGTCCGGGTCAATTCAAAGAATTCATCAAAATCTAAAGCACACTCTCGGCTTCTGACAATCCTGTAGGTTTGAATGAGATCGCCGCGCAGTTGCCTGTAATTTAGAGGAAACAGATTTAGTTCAGTCAGCCTGGTTTCGTAAGGCAAATGATGAAGATTCTTGACCATCTTCGTAGCCATCGCCTGTACTCTTTCCAGTCGTTGATAATCTTTCTTTAACCACGGTCGCCAGGCCTGGACTGCATACTCTAAGTGAGACCGGACGAATGCCCCATAGGTTTTTCCGAACAGCTCCTTGTCGATCTGCACAAATCCTCGCCTCAGCGCAAATAACACCCTTATCGCACTTTTGGCTGCCCTTTGACACTGTGAAGATGGTTTCAGCGAGGAGGTCATTAGGACTCCCAGGTCCTTCTGTTCCACAACATTTGAAAGGGACTGACCACCAAGGACATATTGAAAGGAATCGTCCTCCTTACTGGTCTGTCTGGTGCGGAGTCTCAGGACCACACATTTGTCCACATAAAAATTGAGGAGCCAGCGATCTGACCAACTGTTTAGGCGGTTGAGACTGTCTTGAAGCGCGTACCTGTCTGCGTCAGATCTGATGGCTCTCCACAGCTTAACATCGTCAGCAAACATGATGGCGCTGCATCCCAGGTCGTCGACGCAGTCGTTAATGTAAACCAGGAATAGCAACGGCCCTAAGACGGAGCCCTGGGGTACACCACTTAGAACGGGAGTAGGAGTTGACTTTGAGGCCTCAATGCACACGGTTTGCGATCTCCCGGTAAGAAAATCTGTTATCCATGTCAGCAGCTTTCCTCTTATCCCAATTTCAGAAAGTTTGTAGATTAGGCGTTTGTGTGGGACGCTGTCGAACGCCTTCTTAAAGTCTGTGTATATGACATCAACCCTCCCATCCTCATCCAGTGCGCGAGTCCACTGCTCCGTCGAGAGCAATAAACTGGAAAGACACGAGCGGTTCTGTCTAAAGCCGTGCTGCAGGTCTGAGATTAAATGGCCCTGCTCCAGGAACCCCATAGTTGCTTTCTTAACTATGGCCTCCATTATTTTACAGCAGATGCAGGTTAGACTAACAGGCCGGTAATTGTTAGCATTAGTGCGAGCGCCGCCCTTGTATATCGGAAAGATATTTGCTGTCTTCCATTCCGATGGCAACCTCCCTAATTCGAATGACGAGCGGAAGATGTGCGCCAGTGGTTTGGAAAGTTCATTCGCCAGTTCCTTCAAGAATTTGGCCGGTATATTGTCCGGACCCGAGGACTTTGCTTCTTTGAGATTTTTCAGCTCCCTTTCCACGGCAGCTGCCGGGAAGAGTATGGAGTCAAGCACGGGACCAACAGTCTCAAGAGCATTGCCGGCACTGCGACAGCGAAACTCTGTTTCTCTAGTAAAAACGGAGGCAAAATACTGTCCTAAGTGTTCGGCTTTCTCGTTGTTCTCAATGATCTCTACACCATCATCATCATCCTTCAGCACCGCGACCGGATCCTTATTTTTCAGTCTCCTGTTAAGATAGTGAAATAAAATCTTAGGCTTCTGTTCAGCCTGTCGTATAATTTTGGATTCATACTCCTTCCGTGCCTGACGGATACATTTTTTGACGGCGTTTCGTTGGCGACGAAATTCTTGGAAATGCGCTGGTGACGCAGTTTCCCTGAATATTTTCCATCTTTTGCTTTTCTTCCGTAGCTGCCTATTAAGGTCCCTAGTTAACCAAGCAGTCGACTAGTTGTTTTTTGTACTTTAGGTAAACAACAGCGCCTAATCAGATCGAGTGAAATCGTTTTAAAAGATCTCCAGTCGTCCTCCGGATCTGCCCTGAATATTTGGTCCCAATTCACGGACAGCAATTCGTTCTTCATCGTGTTAAAATCTGCCTTCCGTATATTAGGTTGGCCTCCTGTTCTCTTCTGGCGTTGAGAAAAGAGCGAGTAATCCCATAATAGCGTGGCATGGTCACTTTTCCCGAGAGGTGCATTGGAATACACTTCGTCGATACTAGAGAAGTCTTTAGTGAAAACTAGGTCTAGACAATTTGCTCTCTGGTTCTCTCGAAATCTTGTTGGTACCTTCACATGTTGCGCCAGAGGGAGATCGAGTGTGAGGTCCAGTAGCTTATTGCTGAAAGAGGCTGGTCCACCATTAACTGCCATAGTTTCCCCACTCTATTGCAGGTGCGTTGAAATCCCCAGCAATAAGTACCTCGTGGTGGCTAGCTACGTCTTTGACTAAACCAAGGAGCGACTCATCAGCTGCACTCAGAAGATTTGGTGGCCTGTAAATCGCCAGAAATTCTAGATTTTGTGCATTGCTCTTCTTTATCTTTATCCAGACGGATTCATATTCAAGGGATAGGGTGTGGGCTCTTTCAACTGCTGAAATTCCTTCCCTTACATATACGACTACCCCTCAACCCTGTCTATTTTGACGGTCTCTACGAAAGAGCTGGTAACCCGGTATCGAAATCTCAGCATCCATGATTTCGGCATTAAGCCAAGTTTCCGTTATGGCGATGACGTCGGGGATTTGTTCCGGTACTCTCGCTTTGAGTTCGTGGATTTTCGAAACGAGACTTTGAGCATTGGTATACAAAAATCTCAATTTGGCACGAGCAACTCCGGCATACTGGCGTTTGTCCATTTCTTGGGATTGAATGCAAAAGCCGGTCGGAGCTGATCGGGATGAACTGCTTTCCATCACTCCTAAGCTGTTAGAGTTATGGACTTTCTCCAGAGGAATGGCCTCTGGACGCGTATAATTTTTCCGTCCACTATTCGGAGATTTGTCTCGCCCAGACTCGACCGCCTGAGGACTTCACACAGACTTTACGAAAGCGTTCGACAGTGTCCCACACAAACGCCTGATCTACAAACTTTCCGAAATTGGGATAAGAGGAAGGCTGCTGACGTAGATAACAGATTTTCTTACCGGGAGATCACAAACCGTGTACATTGAGGCCTCAAGGTCAACTCCTACCCCGTTCTAAGTGGTCTACTGCAGGTCTCAGTCTTAGGGCCGTTGCTATTCCTAGTTTACATTAACGAATGCGTCGACGACCTAGGATGCAAAGTCGTCATGTTTGCCGACGATGTTAGGCTGTGGAGAGCCATCAGATCTGTCGCAGACAGGTACGCGCTTCAAGACAGTCTCAACTGCCTGAACAGTTGGTCAGATCGTTGCCTCCTTAATTTTAATGTGGACAAATGTGTGTTCCTGAGACTCCGTACCAAAATGACCAGTAAGAAGGACGATTCCTTTCGATACGTCCTTGGTGGTCAGCCCCTTTCAAATGTTGAGGAACAGTTAGACCTGGGCGTCCTAATGACCTCCTTGCTGAAAACATCATCACAGTGTCAAAGGGCAGCCAAAAGTGCGATAAAGATGTTGTTTGTGCTGAGGCGAGGATTTGTGCAGATCGATAAAAAGCTGTTCGGAAAACCTATGGGGCATTCGTCCGGTTCCACTTAGAGTGTGCAGTCCAGGCCTGGCTACCGTGGTTGAAGAAAGATTATCAACGACTAGAAAGAGTACAGGCGATGGCTACGAAGATGGTCAAGAATCTTCATCATCTGACTTACGAAACCAGGCTGACCGAACCAAATCTGTTTCTAAGTTACTGAAAACTGCGCGGTGATCTCATTCAAACCTACAATAGTGTCAGAGACCGTGAGTGCGCCCTAGACTTTGATGCATTCTTCGAATTGGCCGGGACTGACCGTCTGCGTGGTTATCCCTTCAAACTGCAGAGGAGGCTGACTCATTCGGACGTCCGACGGAACGCCTTCTCTCTCAGTGTCATTGGGGCATGGAACGGACTCCCTTATGCGGTGGTTCTTTCCGAAACTGTGGAGTCCTTTAAGTGTAGACTGGATGCCCATTTTTTGAGAAACTACTGTACTTATAATCACGATTGTTTTAACGGCGGCAGTTTGCGGCTGGCTCACACTTACCGTTAACTTTTTAATTTCCGCATTTGCTGACGTAATTGATGATTTTTTTTCTGTTTATCGATATGAGTAGGGAGCTCAAGGGCGAAACCCTCATTCCCTTAATTAACTGACTTAAATAATGCAAATGGTCTCGTAGCAGTATTTGAATTTGAAGGGTTGTAAGCAGAGCCCTTGGTGACCCTAGTTATATACAATTATTTCCGCATATTCGAACTCAAAATAAAGTTTAAAACATTAAGGATGTTATCGGTTCACAATAAAACATGAATAATATGGGAGCAAATCCGTCCACTGCGAGTCAGTACGGAGAGATTGAGTATGACAGATTGTTTTACAAGGCTGGCTGTCAGTAGTCACATTGTAAGTCGATCGTTGTTGAAAATTGCGGGAGCAAGTTTTCTTTTAAACATGCAAATCGTGCCAGTCGTCACCCCTATTACAACCGGTCCCGTGTTAGATGTGGCTGGTGTTTGATTATTTCGGGTGGGGCTACCAAATCACATCCGACCTTGTTTTTTTATTTTTTCACCCTATTCTTACAACAGGCTAATTCCCAACAAGATATGATCCAGTTGCAGTATAAATGCGTGTCTGTTTCCCGTCTGCCGTATATACCGAATAATACTAGATTAAGTCTAATGCAAACACCCCTAATCAGATGTAGTACTCAAGGTCCTCTCTAAACCCCTAACCACGGGGATATCAAGTCCCTATTGCTGCGAGTTCCATGGTCAGACAACCCGTTGGCTGAAGGAGAACTTCCTACGGCCTAGCCGCGTGCGTTCGCTCTTGACTTTGTAATGATGGCCGAGTAACTGGCTCGTACTGACAAACTCAAAAAACTCCTCCATTCTCGGTGAACAACCTTGGACAGAGACAGTACGAAATGTCCAGAGTAGACTGTAGTTTAGTCACCTATTGGATAGAGGGACTAAGTCAGAAAAAATCAGTCCCACCTGGTGCAACAAGCGCTTTAGGTCATAGATCATCTTCTTTGTTCTGTGCTGCACTTATTCGAGTATGTCAATATCATTCTTCATTCATAGCGAAACTACTAGCATTTCATATTCCAGGTGGGGTCTTACAAAGACACCGAAAAGTCTTCCAAAAAGTTCGGGAGGAAATATTTCAAATGCACGTCTGATCCAGTGCAGAGTACTAGTTGCCTTCTGAACTATCTTTCTACAGTGATCCGATGGCATTAGATTTGTGGTCGTCTATAAACTTAGATCTTTGTCTTTCTGTAGTTTCTAACGCCACCCCGTTAATGTAGTACTGATGTTTAGGAGAGGCATTTCGGCCGGTGTTTGAGTGTAGGACTACGCATTTGGAAACATTAAATTTTGAAAGCCATTTGTTTGACCAAGCACTTAGTTTGTGAAAGTTCGACAGGAAGTTCTTTGCGTCATCATTGCACTTCATTTCATTACATATTATTATGTCGTCGGCGAACATGAGGGCCTTGCATTCCAGTTCGCTGATGCAGTTATTAGCATAAATCAGGAAAAGTACTGGGCCTAAAACAGAACTCTGTGGGACACCACTTTCCACCTTTGCCCATTTCGAGGTAGAGTTACCAACGACGACTCTTTTTACTCTGGAGGCAAGAAAACTCCTGATCCATTTAAACATTCTTCCTTGAGTCCCTTCATCCCAGATCTTCTATAAAAGAAGTCTGTGTGGGACACTAAACAGCCTTTTCGAAGTCAAAAAATATGACGTCTACTAGATAACTCATGTCTGTGGCTCTTATCCATTTCTCGTGCAAGTATACAACACTCGTTAGGCATGAGCGTCCTGGGCGAAGTCCGTGTTGGGCATCACACGACATTTTGTTTTTTATAGGTATTTAATAAGATGTGTTTTGATAACGCGCTCCATTATGTTAAGTGCGATGTAAGTATGACCGACGGGCCCATAATTATCGCAACCAAGGAGTGAACTTCCTTCATGGATCGGGGTGATGAATGCGCACTTCCATTCTTGTGGGAGCTCGCCTTCCTTAAATGACTTTTAAAATATTATAGACAATCGCACGCGCAGTTAAGTAGCAAGTTCTCTCAGTGCTCGTGCGGGAATTATATATGGGCCAGACGATTTGGCAGGCTTCATTCAGACTAGTTCGACTCTAACTATAGCCGATGTAAAGTGAGGCTCCTCGATTGAGGGGGGTAGGGAGGGGTAAGAGGGGAATGGGATTAGGAGGAGACCTTGATTGGCGAACGCGTAAAGGGGCAAATATAGAATAAGGTTCTCCGACGAAGATGGACTGAAAAAAACAGAAAGGAGGGACGCTTTAACCTGGTCATCAGTCTGCATATTTCTATCTGCAGACCTAAGGGCAGGGATGAGTTCCTGAGCTCTTTTAGTACTTCGAATATAACCATGTAGCATTTTCGGGTATTCCAACCGATTTTGCAGTCTGTTTAGTTCGGATTTTCTTCACAGCTTGGAAACATCACTCTAGCATATGTTGCACTGTTGCTTATATTCCTGTAACTGTTCTTCGGAGCCTGTTAGTCTGTAAACCCGCCAAAAGCGATTTCTTTTTTGAAAGGGGCCTTCAAGTTTGAGTTTATCCACCTTGGACGGTTTGCAACTGCCTTCCTTCTGAGGGGACGGTTGGAGTAAACAATCTCTCTCAGTAAGGAGCTGAGGGTCTTCCGATTGTCATTTGTTCCACTATACAGTTCTATCTCCCAAGATACCGCCTACAATTCTCTCCTCATGAGAGAATAGCACTCTTTCCAAATGTTCTTCTCCCACCTATCCGGCAAAATTGGTTTGAAAAACAGTGAATACTTGAAGTACAGCGTAATGTGGTCGCTTGAGCCTAATGGCAGTCGGTCGGGTAAAAATAAGATTAAGGCAGCATTAAAATTCGCAACGATGAGGACGTCCTTCTTCTCGCTGGCTCTATACAATTCGGTTATGAGAATGAAATCTTGGTCAGAATCTGGTTAGGCAAACGGTACACCAGCGAAAGTGTCAATGGTCGGACATACTTAGCAGAAATGGTGATGTTTAAGGGTTCCACATCCCCTACCGTATTGTGTACCTCAGCCATTGAGCTCAGTTTGCAAATGCCATAACCTATTACTCCTCCTCCTTCTCCTCGACATGGTCCTCCTATCCTAAATTGCTAATATCTTCTAAATGCTATTTCTGAATCTGTGATATCCTCAGAAAGCCACCTTTCAGTGGAAGCCATAATATCTGGCTTAATTTCATCAACTAAGTCTCTTAGGTTGTCGAGTTTGTTGAACAGGCTTTGCACATTTGCGGTAAAAACCTTATATCATTGTTTCGTCGGTGAGGTCCAGCCTTCAGTGTGACGGGTATGACAAACTGAGCGTGAGTCTCAGGGGTTGAGCTCGATCTCTCATCTCTCTTGTTACTTTCGGAGCATAAGTATACCAAGGTTTCCTTTAGAACTTTGCATCTATGGTAACCTCACAATATGTGCTGGGGGGGGGGGGATTCAAGGTCTAGCCACTCTGAAAGAGAAGGAAAACGTCCGCACATCCAGTCTTGCTTGATGAGTGCGCAGTTTTAACGGGTGCTCCCGAAGGTTGGTTGCGGTAGCGAATTCAGGGAAAGCACTCAAAGGCCAGGCTGCAGTCCAATCCCTTCTCAACGCAGGATGCTCGTAAGAGATCACCGTGCAGTTGTCTCGCTCTTACCTAAACCGGATAGGCAGCAACAGCAACCATCTTAAGTAGTTTAAGTCGTCCTTTAATGACTTCTCAATTTCCTACGAAAACCAGTGTTGCTGATTTTCCAGAACAGGAGGACTGTCTGCCCCTTCCCGATCTACCGCGTAAGGTGGAATTTCTACTCTTATAATTATTGTCCCATCACCTTAATCCGTTTTTGTGTAAGATCATGAATAGGCTGTTTAAGGTGAATGACATACTCTTGCGCAGGGGGCATTTACAGAGCGGGTAAACTTACGTTTAACCTGTGAAATGGCATTCATTTAAGGCAGTGTAGCCTTCCATAGAAAATATCTTGGTGCGTAGAACCCACGGCATCACTTTTTAACTTGTGGAAGGCTATCCGTCATCTAGGTTGTAGGAAATTACCTTGGAAAGCGCAGTCTTTTAGTAGTGACCAGCAAACCTGTCCCACAGAGTTCGTTGCTGGGTTTCTTGCCGTTTCTCATCTACAGGGACGACTGTGCAGTGGAGGCATTTTTTGAGGTATAATGCTCACTGATGATATCAAAAAACAGAATGCCATCAGACACCCTGACGACTCGACGAATTGCAAGACGCTAACAAACCCATTGTCTGGTCAGTGCTTTGTCTGAGAGCCTTCGACTCCTCCGCCCAAATGCGCACTCTGGCGCTCGTCGAAAATAGTTCTCTACGCGACAGTATTACGTTACTTGAATTCCGCGCAAATGCGAAATAGCGAAAGGGCATCTGCCCCTGAACAACCCAGACTTGATCCTATCACTACACTGTAGAAGTAGTTCAAAGGTAACTAGCCTCGTGCACTGAATTATGCGTATATTCGCTATCTTTCTCCTCGAACTACTTAGTTTTTTGTCAAGTAATACTGAGCTGTATAACGGCAGCAGTAACAACCTAATAGGCAAGGTCACTTTTGAGTTAATATTTCTCTAACGCTCTGATCGGACACTTTTCATAGACAAAGCGTATAATAGCATACCGAAGGGTCAGAATGCAAACCTTTTCGATTGTGGCTTATTATATATTTGCTCTTCCTGGAATCTACACGATACCCTAATATCAACGGTGCGGACACTCTAAAAGTGGAATTTCAATGACGTTTTCCCTTGTATCCTACGTCGACTGAACGAAACTCCAGAAACGCTGCCCTTGTACGACACATGCGATTACACTGTATACACCTACAATATACAATCAGCGATCAGCAGACTGTATATAATATTTGCAATGAAACGTTTTACCGGCAGAGGATAGTAGACAACACACTTTGCGGACTACCTTTACACTGAAAACCCAGATTATTCCGAAATATCTCGAAATTCCTAAGCATTAATAACAACTTCTTATTCTGGTTTTACTCATTAATTTCCGGCCTACGCGGAGTCAACCTCAGAACAGCAAATGTCTTGGTGGCCGGATGCCATTATTCAAACCACTAACAAAAGCTTCTCAGCAAACTGGCGCCCTGCCAGTCTTACTAATTCCTACATGCGAAATAATGCAGAAATCCTCTCGTTCACGCCGCTGCTACTGATTTGAAGATCAACCCAAAGTTCTCACACGGTACTCTGGAAGGAATGTCGTACGCATTACTACAGCATTGTCAAATCGTCTTCTCTGACGACAGCAAGGCCTCTGACATGGTATTTCTCCGGTTGCTCTTAACAAAAGTTAATAATACGCCTCAAGTTACAGCTTGTTTAGCATATAGAGAATTCGTATTGCAAATACACTCGCGTTGCAACGTAACTGGACTTGTCGGTCAGCAGTTATGACCCTCTTGCGATCACCGTGGCAAGATAGTCTCAGTTGGCAATCTCTAGGACACATACCTGAAAGTCTGCATTTGTGAAATATTCCCTTCATACTACCACTGCGTCAGTGCTGTCTTTAGCGTTTTGTACAGTTTTCAAGGCCCTATAGTAAAATTTGTCATATCATTATGAGCGTGACTTTATTATTGTACAGCAATCATGGTCGGTATGATTGAAAGGACGGTCACAGTCTTTCAGATTATGCAGCGACCTTGGCGAACTGAATAAAATGTCAGGACCAGTTGCAATTTAGTAAAGTGCACAGGTTTTTTTGACAATCACTCCATCTAACTCTAACAAACAAAGGGCCCGCTATGGCCGCCTGTCATACATGACTTTATAAGGAGGCTTGAATGAATAAGGCTGCGAAAACTTCAGCGGCTAGGGTCTTCTTTCCTTCTGGTAGTGCATTCCATGCGCAATCTGACACCGGTCCGGCGGAAAAGGAACCGTGGGTTTGGCTTGGGCACGACATGGCTGTGCGGCTGTCTTTTCGGCCTGGCAGTAGCCCTGTACATCTTGGCAGACCTCCTGAGGCTGCATGAAAGGTTCGGAGGTTTTCCACTGTGAACTGCATGGCCCCTGCGCCCGCATCTGATCCTTTTTTATGGCCTGCTGTATGGCCGCATTATGCATCAGGTCACCAATATTGGTACCGCCGAATTTGGGCTCCTTTAGTTGATCTTGCACGTACTGACTGGTGACATTGTCATAGCGAATCAACCGTGACTGCTGATCTTGCGCAATGTTACGTCGGACTCCCTCGAAGGGGTTTAATGAATTCCAGGTGACGGTTTCCAGCATTCTAGCAAAAACCTAGGAAGAAAGCACTCACATTCGAAGATGGAGCAAAAGGTTATAACATGTTTCAAACAGTTGGCACCTACGGAGCGTTTTGTGCCTCCTTATATCCAAGTAAACGGGTTACAACTTTTCATAAAGAAACCTTGCTGCGCATATCCCTGTCCTAGCGACGTTCTCAAAAACATGCTCTCTAATATTCCACTGGCAGAAAATCACGTCTTCCTTGGATTCTATACTCAAACAAGGGGCATATTTGGGCTAAAAACGCTTTCCGATTTCCGAATAATTTCGGGTCCTACCTGTCGTTGCTTTTGCGCTTACGTTTATAGTTTATATGTCACATATTTTCAATATAAGTAAAGCCATACATTCCTCCATATCACTAAGAAGGTACTATACGGGGCTAAAAAAAATTTTGCAATGGGGTTGAACCATGTTCTACGCTTCAAAAGAAAAAACCAGTAAACGGGCAGATACGATCCTCTATGAGTGGAAATTCCACAATCTTAAAAAGTCTTTCAATTAAAAACTCCTAGACTAAATGATGTCCTTTTTGGGAAATAAAATTTTAAGACCAAATTTTCTACTAAATAAGAACAGTAAGTAATCTTTTTAAGAAGATGTTAAGTATAAAGTATTTGACTAAATAAGGGCATTGAGATCAATGGAAAAAATCATGCTAATTAAGCAATAATTTTTTGTCGAATGCGGCTTTTGCAGACAGCCGAAAAGAAGTGAATTGAAAAGCGGACGTCCCCGTGGGACTTAAATATGTTGACATTTTGCTGAACCTTAGTCAGCATTTCATCCCCTTTATAGTAATCCGTTCCAATCGAAAGCGCATTTCGGAATCTCGGCTAACATTTCATGAGTCTACTCACTTCCTGTGGTTTGTTGATACGGTTGTGTCTGCGGCTTGACCTGTTCAAGGAGGGTGGCCAACTTATTTTCACTGCATAGTATTTCCTCTTAAAATCGGACATGGAGCCTTCATTCTATATGATAACAAGACATTGACTATCGGAATCCATGCATTGTTTGGCACGTTTTGCGCTACAAACATAAACACAGGCACTAGTATCTCACGCTTCCAACGACTTTCTAATGAGAACTTGCAGCGTTTAGAAAGCGACTGAATACTAAGGAAGCTTAAGTAAAAAACGGATTCCGCACTGTGTTTACCGGAATTAGTTTGATGAAACTCTCAATGCCATCAAGGTGACCTTGACTTCAGTATGACGTTATACTCCCTTTTCATACGAACGCGTTTGTCGCACAACTGTGGGGTCAATGCTGCCTCCTGGCAGAGTGAGGAGAGTGCATCTGCCTGTGTAGAAAATCGCAAGACGCAGAATGAACTGGATCAATGACTGAACCAATGAATAACATCGGTAACCGTTTCTGCCGTTTGATAAAATTAATTACTTCAATTTGACCCAAATGTGAAAAACTCAGTGCCTCGGTGGGATTCGAACCCACGACAATAAGGGGAGGATTGGGTACAGCCGACGCCCCAACCATGTGAGCTACGCGGCCCCACCGGACGACGCAATTTTTATCACATCTGGGCCAAGTTTACCCGCCCAACCTACTGCAAAGTCTGCAATTCACCAAATCTGACACGGTAAGCTGCCTGCCCAAGCAGGATTTCCTAAGTAATGCATCTAGAATCTATCGGAGGACTACCAGGCTCACGTAATTCAGAAATTCGCCAAAACACTTCTGAATTATATGGTCGAGGGGGGAGAGTGTGGTAGATGCAGCGCAAGTCTAATTCTCGATTAGGTCGCCGTCACTGCGTCCACCGTGCTTTGGGACACACGGTGTAAGTCGTCAGTAACGACGGCCGAACTGGCATCTTCCACTTTTTTGAGAGAGTCGGGGTTCGCATGGAGTGGGAGGCTGGCGAATGTATGTGACGCACGCAGACGAGGGCTTTTACGCCAAATTGATTTTTGTGTCCCATCTCATCCCCAGTAGGATGGGGTAGGACACGGAGAATAGGAAGCCCGTCCAGTAAACAGGTGGCATTGGGCTCAATTTCACGAAGAGTACCCGTCCCCGTGACCTAACATTAAATTAAATCTTAACTGTAACCCCAGCCTTGGCCTTAAGCATAACATTAATCCTACCTTAACTCTGGTCTTAATTGCCGATACAAGCGAAGATGCGAGTCCCAGGAACTAGTTGATCAAAAGAAGAAGCGATCGCTGGAACAAGGGCTTTATTCGCCTGACGTTTTGGATTCTCACCTGAATCCATCATCAGAGACAGTGGCAGAAAAGGGTGACTCGTGCACAGGAAGTTGCAGTATTTGTAGGATGCAGTCGCTATGCTACCGCATACCTATAGCAATTAACCGCGCTCCCCTTCATCAAGGATTGTTGCCCGCTGGTGCGCTACTGCCTTGCTGACCGGCATGCAAGTTGTCAATTGCCGAAATCTCATCGCCTGTGTTGGATCCTGACGTGATGATTGCTCGGCCACTTGGCTCATTGGCTTGCGCGCTCCGCGAGTGGTCAATTACTTTGGCCAGCCTATGCCTCAGAAGGGAATATGGAGTTGGGTTGTCGTTGCACTTGTTGAAAGACTGAGGTCCCGTGAACCATGACTCACACAACTCGAAGCTTATGTGATTATCCCCTCTCGCGATAAGGCCGAAATTCTTGCGTAGCGACTGCATCCTATAAATACTGCAACTTCCTGTGCACGAGTCACCCTTTTCTGCCACTGTCTCTGATGCTGGATTCAGGTGAGAATCCGAAACGTCAGGCGAATAAAGCCCTTGTTCCAGCGATCGCTTCTTCTTCTGATCTGATCTTAATCTCTCTGGCATTTGGCGCAGGGCCGTCTGTAGTGCGAGGGGTTCGTATTCCGGTTCTTTTACCTATGGTGGAGATCATCATTCGTGATGGTCGAAATTTCGTTTATCTAGGATCGAAATTAGCTGTCTAACATATAGGAGGCCATTTTGCATCCCTTTAATGCACACCGTCACGTAAATGTCTCAGGGCAAGATAAAAAGACGAAAATGTCTGGAACCCCTCAAAATCAGGTACTCTAACATCGGATTTAACATGAAACCGGAGAAAACAGTCATCATGTGTCAAACGCCACCGAAGACGTTATACAGGGGACTCTCAATCATTGTCGTAGAAAAGTTAGCCTAGGTTGGCGGCTCATCTAAAGAGACCTCATTATAATCGATGAAAGATTACCTTGGATCTCCAAACCCGCTCAGAGCTCCGGTCGGCCTCCACTAAACATGCGAAATTCAGAAGAGGTCCTTCCAACGCCCAACCGAATGTGCACATGGTAGCAGATGGCATAAAGTCTCCGTGCAATACAGAAGATCGGACAACTTAAATATAAATCACGGAAGTTTAACAACGTTCAACTTAGTTGTCCTCGGAGAGCGGTGAAGATGCAGTAGCAAAGAGATATGCCAGCAGTCAACAGTATTGAAGAAGAAGACACGATCGTTGGGACAAGAGGCTTATTAGCCTGACGTTTCGGATTCCTGCTCGGACCCATCTTCAAAGACGAAAGCAGATACCACTCAACAGTATCTTTACGATGGCCACAAAAATCTAGGTTCAGTGGAGCAGCTGCTCCGCAAACATGTCTTATGAACGCCTGCCCAATCGCCTCTCCTACGATGATACCCAAAAAATGTGATCCTTACGAAGAAGAGACATGAAAACAGCCCCCCCCCCCCGACGTCGTAAATGTCACATCGAAGTGCGTCGGGATCATCTGTGTGTCCTGGAAGATCCTCAGGTGATCAGCGGACATGATGAACTTCGGTGTTTTTTGGTACAGCAATTTCCAAAGTCAATCGGATAGATAATACTGACAAGAACCATCAAGATCGCAAAAACGCGAATATAGGGAACACTTTTGACCACAATCAACCCCCCCCCCCCCCACGTGTCCTCTCGGGGTGCGCCTATTCAGGGTGTGAATTAATTTGGAGGGATTCACACGCAAAGCAGAGCCATGTTCAACAGTCCCGTCGATGTTACTGACCAATCACTCCACTCCTGCTCGAATTGGAATCGAACATTTGAGAAGAATCATCCTGACCGAACATATCCACGTCTAACTCCGCCTGCCAAAGTAATTTTGCTGAAACTGATTAAACTGACTAACGCAAACTCAGACCACGCAGAGAAACCAAAAACGAGAAGTTTGTGCTGATTCAATTATCCTCTGGCACCTGCGGTTACAGTATCAGATCTAGTGGATGGGGCATTTGATGTGGCAGCTGTGAAACGCACATTCCTCCCGGCCAGCAAATTCCTTGCTCAGTCGTCAACCACAGCTCCGCTTCTGGACCCGGCTCAATTTTTCGAAATAAAGCTAGACCCCTCACCAACGTTTACTCTTTCCCGCCCAGTGAAGGCAACTGTAACTGAAAATCTGCTCAAGCATCACCTCATTCTCCTTACCGGGATTGCCGAAGGTCTCCGTTCAGTATACTGATTAAAAGTTCAGTTTGGTGATGGTGGCCGTCGTCGACAGTACTGGCTTAACAAGGGGATACGTCTACCATTCTGACAGCAAAAAAGTTTGACAACACTCAGAATTTTTGTTCCTAGACTGGAAATGCGACGAGGAAGGAAAGGGTAGACGGTAGTGGATGTTCACCTTCGACGGAAAAGGAGTCAGTGGAAAACGCAAATGGCCCATATGGTCCTGCTCAAGTAGGAGGTGCATAGAAATCATACTATTAAGCCTTCACCTTGTACGTCAAAGTCGAGCTGACAATTGACAGGTCGATCATCGTTGCCAACGATGTGCTCCACAACAGGTTGCGAGCGGAGATGGTGACTTGAGCATAAATTACATTAAGTGGGCTAACTCATGAAATTTCAACAGAAATTCCGAAATGCGTTTTCGTTTCGAAAAGATTAATTAAGTAGGGTTGTAAAACTAGTCAGCCTGCAGCGTAGTTTTATAATAATTCAGTCACCCCAGGACGCCGGCTTTCGAGCAAACTCCTTGATGGTTGCATCCAAAAATCAGACTCCCTAAAAAATAACTACTTAAATGGCATGCACTTTTTTCATTGACTTTCGACGTCCCTAAAAGTCTAATTATATTTCATAGAAAACATGCATAAAAATATTCATTCTTCCGCTCATTCGGTAGAAAACTATGTCTTTTTCCAATTTTATACTAGAAGGAATGATATTATTTGGTTTTTAAAACTTTTAGAAATTTCCTAATAATTTTGAACCCGCTCTGCCGTCACACTTGCATTCAGGGTTTCAAAACTACAAGCCGTATATTTTCCGCGGACGGAAAACCACACATTTCTCCACGGTTTTAAGAGGAAACCATATGAGGCTCATAAAATTTTGCATTGGATTTGATGCATATTGTTAACTTTGGAAGCCACATTGGTAAATGCAAAGACATTTCACGATATTAAAGTCTCACAATTAGAAACTTTTTTAAAACTGAATTACGTCCGTCTTCGAGTATAAAATTGAAAGAAGAGGTAATTTTCCACCGAATGAGCGAAAGAAGGAATATTTTTATGCATTTTCACATAAAATATAATTGAATTTTTAAGGGGACCGCTAATTGGCGAGAAAATGCATGCTACTTAAGCAGTCATTTTTCACAGAATTTAGTTGTTACATGCAGCCAGAAGGAAGTTCATTCGAAAGCCGGCATCCTGAGGTAACTGAAATATTATAGAATTATGCTGCAAGCCGACTAGTTTTACAACCCCACTTAATCAATCTTTTCGAAGCGAACACGCATTTATGAATGTCTTTTGAGATTGCATGAGTTAGCCCACCTACTCTAATTCAAAGTGCTGGTAGACTTTCGATACATCTACCACACCCTCTCCTCCCCCACTTGGGTCCGATCACAAAACGGAGTAAAGAAGATTGGGAGATCGGAGATGACGCAGGTGGCCTGCACGGCGCAAACCCGCACCTAGGCGTGCAACGACACCCCCTGATCCATAACGTACACTGACAAGAATTTCACACAACAAGAGGCGAGGGGGACGACTCGGATCTCACGGAATGAGAGTGCGATAGAGAGGACATTAAGACGGAATCATTGCAGCCTGACAGTCAGTTCACTTATCGACCACTCTACGCAAAAACACACTGGACTGATTGAGAGGTCTGAGTAGGCCCGTCAGTTGGCAACCTTCACAGCGCACTGTGGCAGTCTCAAGAGCGCCAGACTGCTTATGGTGAGGAAAATGCACCGGGCAAACAATCTTCTGTGATGTCCTGAGGGTCGCCTCAGTTTAATTAAGCAGGCTCTCTGTCGAGGTGCTCGCCCATACTTTGTTCATTCACACGCTTACAGGTTAAAATAATTTCAAGCAGGGTGACGCTTGAATAATTAAAACTGGCCCCACTAGACAATCCCCAGTTTATCGAAAACTGGAAATCTAGTAAAGTTAGTAATAACTGTCCGGTCTGATGGGACCCAGACCTCGCAGTCAGCCCAGTGTGTGATTGTGCGAAGTGGCCAACTAATGTACTGATTGTCAGGCTGCAATGGCCTCCTCTTAATGTAAACCCTATGGCACTCTCACTCCGTAGGATCCGAGTCGTCCATTTTGCCTCTTGTTGTGTAAAATCCTTGTCAGTGTTTGCTGTGGACGAGGGGATTTGATTGCTCATCTAGGTGTGGTTTTCTTCGTGCAAACCACCTGTCTCCTCTTCCGTTTCCAATCTTCTTGTCTCCGTTTTGACACCGGGCCCAAGTGAGGGGGCAGGAGAGGGTGTGATAGATGCTGTGCAAGTCTATTTTCACTTTAAATTACTTTACCATCCCTGGTCTCGCCCTGTTGTGGAGCACACAGTGGACATCGTCGGCAACGACGGTCGAACGGACAGTATGTGGCCCAAATATTTGTAAGTAATGTTCCGGCACTCAGCTCTCAGGGCCTTTCACCTCATAATTACAGAAAACAAAATTCTCAGCTTACCTCGGTAGCCAGATAGACCTTCTCCCGCTCAGTGAGACGCTTCATCGGGTACGTGACACGTTCGAGTTCAACATGCAAATAAAGTGGACCCCAGACCTTGGCGACGATGCCCTTCAGGTAGTGAATGTTGTGACCATGAGAAACTGTGAGTAAGTAGTTTAGGTGACGGCCAATGTGAATTGCAGCACTGAAGTCCAGGTCGGGTAGATGAGTCAGCATGAACTGTGCATGCGTTGACAGGCACCTAATTTGGACAATTTTGGAGGAGAAACAGCGGACAGGGTTGTGTGAACAAAGTAACTAAATGAGCTTGTCGCTAAGGCCTACCGAAAATGTTCACGCCACTCTTGATTCTTCAATGACCGATGTTTTTTAGCTGTGACGAAGACACTACTAACTGCTAATTAGTAGATTAGTTTTTGCATCGCACCAACAAGTTCTGACATGACGCACTCGTACAGCGGGCACTGCAATTAGTAAGTTAAGGTGCTGACAATAAGAACATCGCGCACCAACGAATTTCATGCGAGGACCCAATTACAGGCAAGTAAATCTAGCTCTTGTAGTCCTAGTTCTGCAGTACTCTGTCATATCATACAGTTCTAAATTGTGAGGGTATATAGAGGCATTCAGGATCGGTCGTGTCTTGTGGTTTCATCGAATATAATCCTACCGCATTCGTGTCCACATGAGGTTACCTAAGCAAAGCTCGACCCTCAGTATGAGAGGCCTTTCAAAAGCAAAATGACTCCGAATGGTTCCATGCGATCAACCAGGAATGAGGGCCTTCATATAAAATGACCCCTTAAGTATTTAAGTTTCCAACAGGTATATTTGGTGCCCGGCATCCCAGTTCCAACACTTTGGAGTTAAGCCTGTGACGTACTTCAGGCTACAAAAGGCCCGCCCTGCGATCCAGACATATGGGCACATCAAATAATTGCATTTATGATTCAGCAGCCTCTTTAGATCTCGCTTATACACATCTGCCAGCTTTCCAGTCACAACGACGGCATCAACTTGAACAGGGATTGAAGGGTGGGCATTAAGAAATAGCTCCATGCCGGCTAGTTGACTTGGGCGGTTAAACCTTGCGAACTGTTGAGGAGTGATTGTGTTGCCAACGGCCGGTATTCCAGTCGACAGCGGAATTTCGCCTTTTAGACGCTGTCAGTTTGTGAGTAGAAACCGTAGGGCTCAAACATGCGGACATACCTTGGGCTGTTAGCGCGTACATGTCACGTTTCGCAGCCCATGACAAGGCAGCTTTGATCGTAATATCAGAAAGTTCATCTGCCGCTGAACCTCTTAGCCAGACCCCGACGGCTGGCCAACGGCTGCTGCGGGTCATACCGACAATCGCAGGTCGCATTGTTTCGTGATGCCGTGACAACAGAATCCGGTCACATTAGTAGCAGGTTCCCCCCCCCTCGTTAAATCGACAGGTCGGTATTTTAAAGTCACCAGAGTTTTGGAGTTGTGAAAATATCCATAGCTATATTTAGAAGAAAAGGTAGCGAGCGAACGTTGCTTTCGATGACTTCTCGTCAGGCCAGTACATTTATACGGGACGGAGTACAGTGAATGAAAAAAATCGATAAAAGTTAGTTTTTGAAACTGAATTTTATCGATTTTTTCCACTCACTGTACCCCGTCCCATATAATTGTACTGGCCTGACGAGAAATTATCTGAAACGACGTTCGCTTGCCACCTTTTCTTCTGATTATCTGAGTTTCCTAGCCGTGCGAGTTCGCATTTTTCCCGAGTCTGCTATTAAAAATGTCGCACTTACTAAGATGACGTGATTCTGCGGCGACCTTCACCTGCTTAGCCTAGTCATCGTGCAACTCCGTCAACCAGCCCCTCAACCATCCCCCGAGAGGCCGAGGCAGCGAGAGGAGAGAAAAGTAGATCAGCACGAGGCCGAACAACGTGACACGCCACTTGGGATTTATGGTCGATTAAGTGCACTTGACGCTTTGACAATGGAGAGCCGATCAAGCTCTTCGAAACGTCAGCATCTATATAAACCTGTTCCGGTGAGCCCATCTTCTTCTTCTTCTTCTTCCTCTTTTTCAAATAATCAACCCGGATCTCTCAGCCTTGCCAATCTGAAAAGACAAACTGTTCTACGCAATTTCCTGTTAGGCTTTGAGTCTATTGTAGTTTTGCTGTCGCAGCTCTAATTTTGGGTGCTGACGACACCAATTGTGTTGGTCCTGTTGACTAACCAATCAAAAACATCTGGTGTTCTGCAAATTTTTAGACACTTAAATTAATACGCACCCGCACAGTGACAACATCTGACCAAAAGAACCACTGCCTCGGCGTACTCACCGTCCAGTGGCCATGCCGTCTTCTCCATTGCGCATTATCCAGGTGAAGAAAGGTCCACGATACTTCAAATAGGCGAGAATGAATGCAAGGGCCCTTTCCGGTTTGTTCATAACGGCCTCCTCCAACTCCATTTGGCAGGGATAGTAGATGTATCGTTGAACGGCTACAGTGCAAATCACAGATGGCATGTAAGTTGGCAGGATGGAACTACCCAAAGACGGCAGATCTGACCTCTCGTGCGTTCTCGTTTAACCAAGAACGCAGTCCGATGAGGGTATACGGACCAGCCAATCAAACTAGGGGAGAATTTCAACACTACAGGACGAGCTCCTGATTGGTCGAACGTAGTCTGTGCGTCAACAAGATTAAGTCAGGCTCGGACGGCGTTCTTGCAGGTGTTCCGCACATATCTTATACACACCGTTCATCCGGTTCCTTCATGCCTTTTGCACACAGCATTGGAATGCCACACCAGCTAGTTGTCATCATAAAGAGAAAGGCAATGGTAGGATGTAGGTCCCTAAACTAACTTGAGTTAGCCTGTGAACCGTGTCATACGTTGAATGGTGATAGAGGGGGTTTTTTGGATGAGGCAACACACAGGACAGATAGCAAGGAGACACAGAAAATATAGGCAGAATAGTATTGCCGACAAAGACAAGGGAGACTCGAATGACCATTTCTGGCTTATTAGCCGTCGTCATCCAGCCATACCCAAGCCCAAAGTGTGGAACACCCGAGCCTCGAACTCGCGACTTGTTGGTTTAGAAGTCCACGCCTCTACCCACCGGGCCACGAGCCCGTTGCCCTGTCGGTTTTCGATCTGGAATATACAATGGTAAGGGGCGCTCACCGATAGTTCATACGGAACTCACTCGTTCCGTTGTGCCTTAAGGGCTCTCTCTCGAGCCCAACCAGCAGCCGCACAGCGGCGCATGACATATAGGCAGAATAGTATTACCGACAAAGACAAGGGAGACTGGAATGGCCATTTCTGGCTTATTAGCCGTCGTCAGCCAGCCATACCCAAGCCCGAAGTGTGGAACACCCGAGCCTCGAACTCGCGACCTGTTGGTTTGGAAGTCCACGCCTCTACCCACCGGGCCACGAGTCCGTTGTCCTGTCCGTTCCACACTTCGGGCTTTGGTATGGTTGGCTGGCCACGGCTAATAAGCCAGAAATGGCCATGCCAATCTCCCTTGTCTTTGTCGGTAATACTATTCTGCCTAAATATATCATGAGCCGCTGTGCGGCTGCTGGTTGGGCTCGAGAGAGTGCCCTTAAGGCACAATGGAACGAGTGAGTTCCGTATGAACAATCGGTGAGCGCCCCCTACACAGAAAATAGTCAAATTTCTGCCAAAAGTCTTATCGTGCGATGTTATTTGGCAAAGAAAGTGAGTGCAATAATTAAAAAGTATCAGAAAGCAATTTTCAAAAAAATAACAGACTCTGAATAAGGCGACGCTGGTAAGTATACATTTAGTCGGGAAGGGGAAAAAATTTCAAACGATTCGATCAGTAAGTAATGAGTGATGTTGACAATCGATTGAATTTAAGGGGATATTTTTGGAGTCGTCATCTACTTGGGGGCCCTACACTCTACCATTACCAAGAGAAAAATTAAGTTCCTCCTGCTCTACGCAGGGTTGAAGACAGGCTCACCTTTTTCTATGCCTTCTGTGTGTTGCCATGCGTCCAAGTACATGGAAATGCCCTTGCATAATTTCTTCGGATGTTCCACAGCCCGCGTATGAAGGGCAGATGGACGTTCAGAATGAATGGTGTGGTTTGCGGGATAGACCTCTCTGGCAAGGATCGGGATACACACCTATAATAGTTAATTATATCTCATAATTACGCCAACTACTACAGACGGGACGTGTGTGAACATATACAGGGCGGCATTACGATCCGTCGAGTGGTATTTTCAGAAAAAAGTGTAAAAATATACAGTGATAGAGGGGACGCTCGTTGATCGCGTTACGGAAGTCACTCGTCACGTTTCTTCTTGAGGCCCTATCTCGAGCCCCGCCAGCAGCTCCACGGCGGCCCGTAATATAGGCAGAATAGCATTACCGACGAAAACAAGGGAGACTGGAATAATCATTTCTGGTTTATTAATCATCGTCAGCCAGTCTTACCCGATCCAATAGTCGCAACCTCTAGAACTCGAACTTGCGCTCTGTTGGTTAGAGGTCCAACGCTCCTAACCACTGATTTACGGACTGGTTGTCCTGTCGGTTGCAATCGGGTATAAGCGTATATATGTTTTAAAGGCAAGTACATTCTTTGGGAAAATCATAAGCTTCATTATACTATTATTTATTTATATATTTATGTATGAATCAACAACATGGGAAGCAAAGTTCTCAACACAAGAGAGGAATTTACTGGTTAAGCTGAGTCCCAAGGTATAAAAACACAGGCAAAAATTTTAAACAACGTACTTTAGAGTCGTGTTTTATAAATAAACAGTCAAATATTATGTTACTTCAAAGGAATAAAACAGGGTGAATATTTATGACACGCCGACGAACTTACACAGCTGATTTTATCAATTTTTGAATAAATTCCGATTCTCATATGATTGAAGATATTTAAGACTAGATCTGATTCTAGGTGACATGGTTTCTTCCCTTTGCTTGTAGTTTGAACCTACCAAATTATCTCAAAAGTACATTCGGAATTTATAGTCGCTTCGAGTGCCTGTGTAATTTGACATTTATACTTTTTTAAATGGCTGTAATGGAGCCCTACCAATATAAAAATATTAGCGTTGTTCAAACGATGTCAACTGGATTTTTTGGGTTGTCGCAAACTTATATCCAATTATATGCAAGGAAAACTAGACTATAACATCTAATTTTGAAGTCGTAGAAATTTAGCCTTCGGTTGCGTGGACATGCAGTACTTCGATCCGAACTGATTTCGAGATGGCATAAGAGGGGTTACGCTTTGACTTGGAGCCGAGTCTCTACAGCCGTACAATCACCACTAGTCAATAATCTGGAAATATGGCCACCAAATCTTGGATTCACCAGCTCCTGCCTGCTGTCAGCTAATAAGCCATAAATTGTCATTGCAGTGGCTCTCTGTCATTGTCGGTAGAACCTCTCCAATGGGGTTTTTTCGGGGATTCGCAATACTGGCTAACCACCGCTGAGGAGCAGAAGACGGAGGATTTAAGCCAGGTTACAAGATCAAGTATGACTGAAGTAGATAACTCTCGGTTATTTGCCTTAATCGTCAAGAACCCCAGACCAGGGCATTTGGGATTTCACTGTGGTCAATTTATTACGGGGTATTCCATTCAAACACCTTATCTAATACGTCATTAGCCTATGTCTTGCCGACCATATATTCAGAGAGTCAAAGTCACGTGGGACTAAATGTGCCTCATCGTGCGACCGCCCCCAGAGGTCCTGGACTCTACGAGCTTGTGTCACCTTGCTATCGGACTCGGTGAAGCGCCACTCGCACATGTTGCCTTGAAAGTCCACTAGGCCGTCTGCACTAGTTCGCACTCAATAAACCCTTCTTTTTAGAGTGACATAAATGAGAACTTGCTGCAGATCTGTAGCGCCTCAAGCCTTCAGCCACTGGCAATTACGCCACACTAGAAGTCATTTGGTCAAGGTTCCCATGCAGCCGAAACACACACACACATGCAGCCTTTAAGACAGCCAATCACAGACGCCCACAAACTTCACCGAGCTGACGCTGACCGGCTCTCCCAGGGCGGCGACAGTTTGACCGTCCACAATCGACGATGTCCACTGTGTGCTTCACCGCAAGTTGAGGCAGGCACAGGGAATTGCGCATGAATAACTTTGTAGTGAGAGTAGACTTGCGCAGCATCTACCACACCCTCTCATTCTCCCCACCTAAAACCGGTGTCAGGACATAGTCAAGAAGACCGGAGGCGGGAGAGGGTGCAGGCGTTTGGGATGGCCGGACCCGCACCTAGGCGTGCCTCCACACCCCCTGGTCCACAATATACACCTGACCAGGATTTTTCACCAATAACAACAACTACACCCCAACATCAGTCGGGAGGACTAGGATGATGACTGGGCATCCATGCCCATCGCCGGTATACCCAGCGGGAGCGCAGGTGCACATATCGGCAGGGGACCAGGTGTCAGGGAACTGCCAGCGCATACGTGGCTGCGAGGGCCACGGTCTCCTGATCATCGCATAGGAGACGCCTACACTCCTTGATCTCACCGGACAATTGGCCATTCCCGCCCAGCGGACGGAAGCGCGCCCATGTTCGCTGGCTTTGACCGTCACTGAGTTTCTGTGTAGAATACACGGCTTCTACTGGTGTGCTCTGCTCTCTCCCCAAAATGGCATAAGGCCGTCGTTATTGTGGCGCTCTGAGTATACTCACTAATTAGACACTAATTAGACAAGACCGCGTTCAACTGGCGAATTTTCGAGTTCGCTGTTTCTACAATTTCAGGATTTGGCTGAAAAATCCATATCTCTGCACAAAGGCTTAGTTTAGTTCCGTTTGTCTGGGGACGACTAGTTAGACTGTTAACTTCCTGGCCGACTTTAATAATGGCCATTCACGATATCCTGGAAATGGGCTAAAACGCCACATTTGTACGTCAAAGAACTTTCAATAATTAAAAAACCAGATTAATAATCTAGTAACACAGGGCATTTGGAATTTTCATCTAAAAGCCATCTGTGCCATAAGCACTAATGGCAAATAACCCAGATGTCATGTTTCTCGCGCTAGCGAATAGTTTTAAAGAATGCAGCGTGATTTGCCCAGCATGGCTTAGGAGTGGCGAGGGAAAATATTCTTGGTTTGCCGGAGGGACGGTCCTGAAATATCTACCACAGAGGACGCACAAGGAATATGCGGAATAAAATTATCTTCTCTAACACATGAAAGTCGATGAATTCCTCCACGGCATCGTTTGGTTCATTCTGGACGTTTCAGTTACAGCCTGCTCATCATTTAGGTGCCGCACACTATGCAGAGATTTCTGCCATATTGCAGTACTGCGAGCAATCGGCGCTCCTTAAGATGTGCGCGATTTTGAATTTTGGTCACCACAGGGGGTAGAACCGACGAACCCTCCTTATAACCACTTATATTGCCTTTTATCCTGTTTTCGTGACATTTTTATCCCATCAAACTGCAGAAAAATCTTAATATAGGTGAAGAA